AACCCTACTTAGCTTCCAGATCTGATGAGGCTGGGCTATACCATGCTACCTTCCGTCCCACAACACCATTACCTCTAGACAAACTCTGCACAACCTTACAAAAGACATGAAGCTGCTTTGTATTGAATCAGACCATTGGGTCAATCAGGGTCAGTATTGTCGACTCAGACTGGCAGCAGCTCTCCAGGGTCTCAGGCAGAGGTCATTCCGAACACCTACTATGTAGTCCTTTTAGCTGGAGATGCTGGGGATTGAACTGGGGAGAGCCAGTTTGCTGTAGTGGTTAAGTGCGCGGACTCTAATCTGGGAGAACCGGGTTTGATTCCCCACTCCTCCACTTGCACCGGCTGATGTGACCTTGGGTCAGTCACAAGCTCTGGCACAGCTGTTTTTTGAAAAAGAGCAGTGTGTGTCAGAGTTCTCTCAGCCCCACCCACCTCACAGGGTGTCTGTTGTGGGGAGGGGAAGGGAGAGGAGCTTGTAAGCCGCTCTGAGACTCCAAGTGAAGGGCGGGGTATAGATCCAATCTTTTCTTCTTCTTCTTCTACATATCAAGCCGATGCTCTACCACTGAGCCATGGCCTCAGCAAATCCTTTCTTCTTCGTTTTTTGCCATCAAGCTGCAGGTGACTTATGGTGTTCCCGTAGGGTTTACAAGGCAAGAAGTGAGCAGAGGTGGTTTGCCATTGCCTGCCTCTGCATAGCAACCCTGGGCTTCCTTGGCATCCTCCCATCCAAATAACAACCAGGGGCGACCCTGCTCAGCTTCTGAGATCTGAGGAGATTGGTCAGGACAGAATCCTCTTTTCCAGAGGCAAAGCTAGGATGAGAGTCAGCTCACAAGTAGCAACCCATCTTTCTGAACCACCTTTGTCTCTGGAAGAGAACAAAAGGGTTGGGTCCAACCTGCTTTTCCACCGGTCCAAAGGGGAGAAGAGGGCTTCCTTTTGACCACGGAAAAGGTTATGCAAGGATCATGGAGAAAAGCCAAGTGAGTGAGGGGCAATGCCCCCTCTAAGCTGTGGAGTCTTGTGAGCTCCGGGTATTAAAGTTCTGAGCGAGTGATTCGGCTGCTGCATAAATTAAGTTTGCTCTGGAGCCCTCCTTCCTGAGGTAAGCCAAAAATGTGTGAGCTGGAGGCTAAAAAACTGTGAGCTAGCTCACACTAACTCAGCCAGTTTGGTGTGGTGGTCAAGTGCGTGGACTCTAAACTGGGGGAATCAGGTTTGATTCTCCACTCCTCCATTTGTACCTGGCTGGATGACCTTGGGCAAGCCGTAGTTCTGGCACAGCTGTTTTTGAAAAAGAGCAGTTTCTGTCAGAGCTCTCTCAGCCCCACCTACCTCACAGGGGGTCTGTTGTGGGGTGGGGAAGGGAAAGGAGTTTGTAAGCCGCTCTGAGACACCATTGGGTAGTGAAGGGTGGGGTATTCCAATCTCTTCCTCCTCCTCCTCTTCTTCTACAGGAAACATTGGTCAAAGGCTGTCATAAGGATGGGAATTGGGGACAGTTGAGCAAAAAGGCTGGTTGGATGCCATATACGGTATATATACTCCCTGAGGCCCGACAACACTCACAGATCAGTTACAGCTCTGAGCTACTGACCGTCAATAGCTTTTACTGCTCTATGGCCCAGATCTTCTTGGTTCTTCTGACATCTCAATTGTCTCCTCCTGTTTGGTCTCAGTTCACCAGCTGCGGACTTCTGGGCATGGATTAGCAGGGGATTTGATCTATGTCAAGCGCAGCTCTTGCTTTAGGGTTTCCGATGCTCCAATCCCACGGCCCTGCCAATGTCTTTTCACCTTGCCGTCTCAAGGAGAATTTGATTGCTTCCAGGACTGTCTTAAAGTTAAGCGGCTTAGGCTCCTCAGCCAGCCAAAGTCCCTCTAGGATGGGATAAGGATCAGCCGCTGGGCAGAGCCCAGAAATGACACGGCATAGGCTATGTTTGCAAAAGAGTTGCTAAGCTGTAACGATCGCTTCAAGCAGAGACCCTCGGAATGGACCCACTGCCTGCCCTTTGCTTGTCTCTTAACTGCCGGCGCGTCTCAACTGACGGGTCTCTTATTAAGAGCACAGCTTCTTCAAAGGGATATTTGGGGAAGGCAAACCTGGAGGAAGAGGGAACTTTCCCACAATAAAAAAAAGGAAGTCCAAGAACGGCTACAAATCAAATGTGCTGGAATTTCTCCTCCTTTGCTGATTCTATGAGAACCATTAAATTATTCTTAGATCTACTCAACCAGTTTGAGCGCCAGTTTGGTGTAGTGGTTAAGAGCACGAACTCGAATCTGGGAGAACCGGGTTTGATTCCCCAACTCCTCCACATGCAGCTGCTGGTGTGACCTTGGGTCAGTCACAAGTTCTCTCAGAGCTGTTCTTGAAAGAGCTCTCTTAGCCCCACTTACCTCACAGGGTGTCTGTTGTGGGGAGGGGAGGGGAGGGGAGGGAAAAGAGTTTGTAAGCCACTCTGAGACTCCTTTACTGAGCCAATCCAACTCATGTTGCACTTTTTTTTCCTGCTACCTTCAACTTTTCCTAGCTTTATTGTTTTTTCCAGTGCCCCTTATCTTCTCAATATGTGACTAAAGTACAATAGCCTTAGCCATTTTAGCTTCTAGGGAAAGCTCAGGCTTGATTTGATCCAAAACCCACTTATTAGTCTTTTTGGCTGTCCTTCGGATCTGTAAACCCTCCGACACCACACTTGAACTGAATCAACTTTCTTCCCGTCAGCTTTCTTCATTGTCCAACTTTCACGCCCATACATAGTAATGGGGAATACGATGTCCTGAATTAACTTGATTGTGTTCAGTTACAGGCTAACAAATGAGATGGGTGAATAAGGGGAGATGAATAGACACCATTGGCTTGATTTAAGAGAATGAACAAAGGCAAAGAGCACAGCTGGATGATAAAATAGGAACATAATACATAATCTGAACATGAGTTGCACTTGCTAGAGCATCAAAGCATGACTTCTAGCTGCTGTAAGAGCAACAAGAGGCAATTACTTTGGCAAATAAGGATAAACCATCCTTCACAGAAAAAGATACAGAGGGGTTTACATGTTTGGTGATGTAGAAGAAGAGGAGACTGGATTTATACCCCGCCCTTCACTACCCAAGGGAGTCTCAGTGGCTTGCAAACTCCTTTTCCTTCCCCTCCCCACAACAGACACCCTTGTGAGGCAGGTGGGGCTGAGAGAGCTTTGACAGAACCTACTCTTTTTCAAGAACAGCTCTTATCAGAACTATGGCTTGCCCAAGGTCATCCAGCCAGGTGCATGTGGAGGAGTGGGGAATCAAACCCGGTTCTCCAAGATTAGAGTCCACACACTTAACCACTATGCCAAACTGGTCACTACACCAAACTGTACAAGAGCCAGCATTAGTAATGGGTAGAGAATTCAGGACCTTAAGAATCTCAGCCTTCTTTTTCTAAAGGCTCAAAGGACAGCAAATACAATTAGGAGCATTCTGTCCTGCACAGGTAGTGTGTGCCGTTAGCCTCCCATAGGCCACAAGCCACGTGGAAACCAAGTGCATTTTGTGACAGGACAGGTTTTTTATTGGTTCCTTAGGATCTTGAGGTGTCTATTTGCATGTGGCCAAGGTTCTTTACTACTTAAAATGACAAGGTCATCTTCAGCCTCCGGACTTCCACAAGAGTATATCAGTCGTGTTTGGTCCACACACCCAGTCAGATAAAGCCACTCTTGACAAAAATGTCTCTCTCCCCAGAAGGGGCCCGCTGCCAGGCTTATGACACAGGACAGACACAAACCACTGCAAAGTTACAAATTTAATTTTTTTTTGAAATAAATACAAATAATTCTTTAATAAACTCTCCCCAAATAAACAAGTTCAGCCTCTCAATTACAAGTCTGCGCTTCTCCTTACAAACCACCAGGAAAACTCTTTTGTCATTAAAAAAAACAAAATAAGTAGGCAATTTGCCTATACAAGAGTTTGGTTATCTGGAAAAGCCCCCCAATATCTGAAAATCATTAGCTATGTTAACAATTGTGATGTAGCAAAGAGAAAAAAAGCCTCTGTGTGTGTGTGTGTGTGGGAAATCTAGAATTCCCACCTATGCTGGAAATCAGCTGGGTTGCTCATTGCTTCCCAGAATATAGTTCTTCAGACATCAGGAGGATAGCCTTCGATTGCAGAATCAGTCTCTGTGTCTCGCTACATTTACAACCGTGGAATATATCTCCATTGCCATCTTGCATCTCCCTACCTCAAAACAAAGCGGAACATGTTTTCGCCCAGCAGCAGTTAAACCTTAATAATGAATTTTTAGGCCCGAACACTGTGGCAGTTGAATGCGCCGTACTTCAACCACCATACAGGTTTCCCACCATTCTAAGCCTATTTACTGTTGGGCTTGATTAGATAATCCTCTATTTGTTACCACGGCCAAGAAAACTATTCGGGCGGGTGGGAGAGATCAAAGAACCCACCCAGCAGGGAACCAGAGCGCCCCCACCTGCTGTTTCTCACTGCCAAGTGCTATTACCCAAAGTGGTATCATTAGCTTTGCTGCCTCCAAAAACTCTTCCAGATGCAAGAACAAAGCCTTGAACAGTAGTAGGTTCCTCAGTGATTTGAATCTTGCCTTTAGGCAGAGAAGCAATTTCGAGCGATCTAAGAAGGAGGAGGGAGCTCTGCAACGGGATGTCAGGTAAGAAGAAATAAAAGGCTTTAAGATTCCGTTGGCCTGGAAGTTGCAGCACACCCCCTATATTAGTGTAGGAAAAACTGGCCCTGTAATACTACTCAAGAGGCCAAAATGGACAATACCGTTTGATTATTTAAATATGTACAGATCTGAGTAATTCCAGATTCAACAGGAGACTGTAACTTTTGTTTTGTAAGAAAACAAAAGTCTCCCATCAGGAATTATTATTTCCAAAGCAAAGTTTCTACACAAATGTGGCAATTTTTTTTAAAAAAAATGCCAAATTTGAGAAGAAGGTATAATATCTGCTTTGAAGACTCTGCCACCAGTGTTCGCTTTCCCACTGGATAAGTTTTAAAGACATCTACAATTAGCTGGAGAAAAAGAATAGCAGCAACCTCTGTTAGGGATACAGAGCAACTGAGATGTTTTTTATTGGTCCCTGTTGAACTCTGGGAAGGGACGAGAGCCAGAAAATGCTTTGGGTTAAATATCAAATATCGTGACACAAAGTGGGTGGCAGTTGGGTCTCAATTACAACTCCGGCCTGTTTCGCTTAACAGGAAACCTCCATGGACTTCGGGCTCGGTGGTTCAGTGTTGTTTGCGGAGTTGGGAGTGAGCTCGATGCGGGTGTCTGTGTGAGGGCGGTTCCGGGTGTCCTCGCTGGTGTGGGATCTGGTCTTCTCCCCATCACTGGTATGGGACCTGCTTCGGGATCCCTCCCCAGTGTGGGATCGACTTCTCACTCCTTCACCAGTGTGGGACCGACTCCTGACTCCTTCTAAGGAGGCGACGCTGGAACCAGAAGCCGTTCGGGATCTCATGAGCCTGGTCATGCTCGCAGAAGGCACTGCAAAGGAAAAATCAGGTGTTAGAGAGATGCTGGCCTGTCAGCAGGTCAGTTTTCTTTTAATATAAATTAGGTGGCCGAATGACCACCACACAAGCTGAAATCAACAGAGAAGTGTACAAAAGGCGGTCATGATGAACAGATAGCAACAATCCAACAATAATATTCATTAATGAGATATGTATGCACCACCGATCCATTGGAAACTAGGTGCCTAAAGGAAAAGGGAGACTAGGGTAAGGAGAAGAACCTGAAAAACAGGCAGAAGCAATGCATAGTTCAAGAGAGGAGATCTCCAGGAATAATCCTTACTGCGCAAGAACAAAAACGGCTATGGCACTTTCTGAAAACATACAGGAGGTATGAAATCCCTGGGGACAGTGGACCTGAGAGCCCAGAATGGCAAAGAGATGGCATGGTGCTGAATTTCAGGTTTAGAAGGTAATGTTATTTAGGCCAGATTTCAATGAGATAAGACTTTATGGAATAAATGAAGCTGCCTTATACTGAATCAGACCATTGGTCCATCAAAGTCACTATTGTCTATCTAGACTGACAGTGGCCATCCAGAGCTTCAAATGGAGGTCGTTCACATCACCTGCTTCCTGATCCTTTTTAGCTGGGGATTCTGAGGGCAGAACGTGGGACTTTCTGCATGCCAGGCAGATGCTCTGCTGCTAAGCCACGGCCCCTCCCAAATGTCACAAAGCACTCTTTGTTTCCTAAAACAGCCGTTTCCGATCACTGTATTCCCTCTCCTAGTTTTCAACTGCAAATTGGTCAGGGCCCATGCCTGCCTACGGTCTAAAGCATACCAGCAATTGTGTCATTATAAATAATCCATTTGCCCATTTCAAATTCTAAACTCAAAGCCTGTTTTGCAGCTCAAGCTAACAATGCGGCATGGCAACAGACTGCTAGCTTACTTCAGACATGTACTTACTGTATCCCATTCCCTGTACAAAGTATTTGAAAGCTTCAGCGAGTTTCGCAGGCTGTGGAAGGAAGTACAATATTTGAAAATCACCAGTTACTGTAAACTTGTTAATGCTCATATCTAATTCTGAACATGGCCCTAGATGCAGACTATTAAATCTACAGACTGGGAAGCATACAGGGGAGATCTTTCTAGAAATTTGGAGGAACCCCACGGTTTGCAGAAAAATCTAAAAATGGTGGGGGAGGCAACACAGCTTTAGGTATCAGGCTAAGAAGACAGTCTTCTCTTTTGTCCTGAAACTGCCAGGTGTGAACTGGGCCTGGCAACGAAGGCTTTAAAAAAAGTAAGCAAACTGTCTCGGACTAAAAGTGCAATGTGTCCCCCCTCCACCACCACCGAGTGAAGTGCACTGCCCTGAGTCTGCATCTAAGACCATCATTTACCAGGGGCTACTACCTTAGTATTTCAACCATGCAAATGTAGGAGAAGATGCCAATAGAGGCTGCATCCTGTATGTGCCTCTATGCAACCATTTTCAGTAAGGATATTGCACTTGGGTTCAATCCAATACCACAAGGTTTTATTAGTAGATGGGAGTGAATCCATTACTTAGCACAGTGAGATCAGCTATCCAAGGTCCCCAAAATGACTTTTGCCAAATCTTACCTGGGAAACTTGAGGAAGACCACCACAGTCGGCCATCTGCAAGGAGAAAAGATCGGCAAAAATGGGCCTTGTGTGTCCATTAAAGACCCCAGATTTTGTTACACTTATACAAACAAGGCATATTGCCAAGAGAAAGGAATTCATGCCGTCACAGTACTCATACCCCTTGAGCTGTGATGTGTGACAATGGCCACACAAATGGCAAGCATGATTTCTAAATCCACTCCTGGGGAAAAAAAACCAGCCGTATGCTAATTCACACAATTCAAGACATAATGCTTCTAACACTAGTGGCGGATAACAGAGATGCATATCTTGACATTGAGGGAGAAGCACAGATTTGATCTACAGCAAATAGACTTTGCAAAAAGAGGGACGCAGACCTAACCCAGTGCTTCAAACAGGAATGACCCAGGTTTAAACAAATAAAAGACCTACTCAACTCGATTAGGGCTTTCACTGAGGCACAGATCTCTGAGTATCTTTGTGCAGATTTCTTGCAAGCATATTATGCTCACAGGGCAGCAAAGTGACTTAACGCTCATCCACAGACTCCAGGAACAAGTTACCTCCCAAATAACAGTGACTAATAAACTTGCTTGGATTCAGGAATTAGATGTGTGCAGACTGATCAGGCCTCTTGCATGACTTCCCCACTGTTTATATGTGAGGTTATGAAGATAAAAGTCTGCCTAGAGTATTCTACTACATGCATCTGAAGAAGCAGACTCTAGCTCACAAAAGCTTACGCTGGAATAAAATCTCGTTCGTGCCTGAGATGCCATAATATCCCTACTCATTGGGAGCAGGAGGGTGCAGAATGTCAGGATGGCCAGGAACATGCAAAGTCTTTGCTGAATGCCCCCAAAAGCCATCACAGATCTAAGGGTCTAACCATAAGCAAAGGTCAAACCATAAGCACAGGTCTAACCATAAGCAAACACATGAAGGAGCCTTCCAGCGCCTTAAAGGTTAGTATATTTATTGTGGAATAAGCTTTCATAGACTAGGGTCTATTTCAGATACCTCGTTACCTTCTGTCAACTGCAAAGCCACTCCAAGCATCTGATGAAGTGGACCATAAGCCGCAGCAATTTGTGTGCAAGTGTGTTAAGTGCTGTCAAGTTGCTTCTGACATATGGCGACCCTCTGAATTAGTGTCCACCGAAATATCCTATCGATAACAGCCTTGCTCAGGTCTTGCAAACTGAGCCCCCCCCCCCCCGCTTCCCTGATT